TAGGGAATGATCAAATGTACAGGTGTTGTGGTAGGAAAATTGATGAGTTATATAGTTGTCAGTATATACTACATGCCATCATTCTTTTTTGACACTCTGTCCTCCAGAGGCCCTCCATGGTCGACCAAGCTAACACCCCCCGACGTCTGATGTCACGGACTGGAGCCACTAGTGGTGACAGTACCCCGACCACCTTACAGCCCAACCCGACGCTGTCCACAGTGACCATCGCCAGCGCCTTGGCCAGTATTGGTATCATTGGAGGGGCAGGGGCCAAGGGGAAGGATGAAGGAGGCGGGATCCCCAGGAGCAGCCCGGGCTCACCAGAGCCGGAGAAGCTGTCGCTCCTATCCCCCGCGTCACTCGTCACTGCTGTCATGAGGAGTCCAATGTGAGCTTTGATCACTGTTTTGTTCAAGAATCTGCTGACATTGAAGAGAATTTGATTGGAGCATGTGATATGTGAATTTTCCATTTTAAGTACACACTTACTTACCAGTACCTGTTCTGTAATCACGGGCACTGCACCCATAGAGGGGCTTGATTCAGCCCACAAGTAGAATTGGTTGGTACATTTACTTCACATGGTGCTGATGATATCAGCTCCTGAGAAGGGAACACGCTAGTTTTGTAAATTCAGATTCTAGGAAACTGACAGAATTTGAATGGGGATTTTTGAAGTGGTTTATTTTTTCCCTCTCTCTCCAGTGAAGGGGTCACCTTGATGGCCGGCGATGCCAAGGGCCTACCGGGTGACAGTTTTGTCTCTGCGGAAGCCGTCGCCTGGATTCGTAAAACTTTGATTGGCAGTGTCAGCCATGATGAGGCCTTGAGTGTGATGCAGGTAAGAGAGACTTCCCAATCCTGAGAAAGGGGGGGGGGCAATGTTCGAAGGGAAAGAAGGGGCCAAGTGGGAAATCGTTTCAGAAGAGCTGATTGAATCGCCGGTCGGTTTCTCATACTGCAAGTGCGAAAATATCTTGCTAAAATCTTGCTACTCCTTTTTGATTCAGTTCTTGTTTCTATTCTATCACTAACTTAAGTTGACCCAGCTTATCCACCTTGAGCAGAAGCACCCCTTAGTGGTTGAAAAGAGCAATGTTGGTCAGGAGCAATATGACTGTGAACCAGCAAAGTTCAGTTCTGACCAAAGGAGCCTCCGTTGCTAAGAAAATAGCACCCTCTCTTGCTCCAGCTGGAGGTCCATAACAAAGCTGTTAATATCTTCTCCCAGTAGCCCTCAAAAAATGTTCCCACTGACTTGCCAGAAAAGATACTTTTTCAAGAGTACTTCTGTGGAGAGAATTTTTTCTTTTTTTTTTAAGTTTCAAGACGACAGAGTAGGCTGAATCTGAATCCATGTAACAAATAAATGAAGGTATTCACATGCTATCGCTTGTAATAATTGTTTCTTGTGATTTTCTCTTGTCTTGGGTGCCAAGGCTATCTTGGAGGAGGGATTTATCCATTCAGTCTTCAGTGCTGCCGCTAACAAGACCTTCCTGTATGGCTACTACATCTACTGCTTTGTACCGCAGTCGGAAGTCACAAGCCCAGGTGAGGAGGTGGATACTTCTGACCACGGGGTTGGGGGGAGGGATACCACAGGATGCATGAAACTATGGCTGTATCTGAAGCCATGAGTCACACACACTTGTCTTTTGGAACTTGGGGCAGAGCCTTTGTTACCAGCCAGATGCCTTGGTTGATGAACAAATTACTTCCAGTCATAGCCTGAAGAACTTTCTGAAAAGGTCTCATGGTGACACTGTCATCAGTGACGTTCATAGTGCTAACATGTTGTACCACCCCACCCCACCCCTCCTGAAAATTTTGAGATGTACATGGCTGATATACAAGCCGTAGTTAGTTTGCGTCTAGTGTCCCTTGAATAAAGTGTGTGCACCCCTGGGTGGCCCCTCAGAATTCTCACGCTAGTTATGCCAATGAGAGAGAGAGAGTGCTGGGTAGCAAGATTACAGGACAATAAGAATTGTTGTTCAAACCTAGGACAAATGACCACCAAGGATCAGTACTTGGAAAGTCCAACTTAGTAAAGGACTGTGATTGTGATATCCTGTCATTTCAAAACGTAGGTATTTTTGTAGGAAAATAAGACCACGTTGGATACAGGTTTGTTCTTGAATTAAGCCATGCGCGAGTGGTTAAACCCAGTGGTCTGATCCAATTCTCTTTTTGACATGTCTGTCCAGATGCCAGAAGGCCTTCAGGGGTTCGCGAAGCCCGCCCACCCCTGACCTTTGAACCAACCTCCCGGAACCCCTGGTTTGAGGTGTCCTGCTCAAGCCCAGAAGGAAGGAATTATGGGAAGGTACCCCACCGGCCCATGGAGGAAAGCTCAGGAGGAAAGGATGAGATGGCTGTAGAAAAGAACGAGGGAGCTGATTTGCCTGAAATTGGGGGAGACAATGGTGAGATACAAAGATTCAACAGCATCAATTTGGCAATATTTACACTTTGAGTAAAAATTTTTTTAAAATGGAGGTCTAACTGTGCACATTTCTGTTTTTTGCTTGCTGCCTGTTTTGAGGCCCGGAAAATGGAATAAAACTGTGATAAATCACTGTCTAATTATAACTCAGTTACCACATGGGTCTAGAAACTTCTGCTGATAACTTTGACCCCCTTAAGGCTTCCCAAGGCCTTATTGTTCGTGTGTTTTGTTTAGAAGTAAGTCTGAAATAATTTTTGACTGTTAATTTTGTTTAAATCATGAATTGGCCTGCTCAGTCGGTGACTTTTTGGCTCACAAGAGAAGATGGTATGTCTGCCAAGAGGCATTTGTATTCTACAGGGATGGGTCACATTTAGTTTAGTTCTTTAACATAAATCCATCCCCCAGGCATGAGTACCGGCCCAGAGACAAGCTTCAAGCAGCCCGCCTACAAATCACTCTTCCTGGAGATCGACAGCAGCAAGTTAAAGGACCGGGTGGAGTGGTGCCATGTTGGTTACCATAGCAACTACAACCCTGTCTCAGCCTTTGAGATTGAGTTGCAGTGGTTGACCTCCACCCCCAGTCTGCTGCAGGAACTGGTGAGTCTCATCACCGCAAATTTCAGGTTCTGTTATCATCCATAGCCACTTTGTTTAGACAGTGTTTGTGATCATTATCATATCACAGCAAGGTAGGCAGTGAGCACTTGGCAGGAAGCTGTCTGATAACAATTAGCTTATTATAGCCCTTTGCTTATTAAAAGCAACATCTTGCAAGGATAGCTGCTAACCAACAGGAGACTTTAATACTGCGGTGTCACCAAACTCTCCGGTGTGTCTCATCCATTCTTAACTCGAGGCACATGGTCATTAGCCTTTTAGAAGCGTGGCGGACACAATAGGATTGGTTTTACCAATTAATGCATTTACGTGATACCCGAATACATCCCCCCTCCAACTGATTGGTGGGTCATCGATCGCAAATCATTAACTTTATTTGGCATATTCATTGGTGTGGCTGTAGACTATACCCATTAAATATACTGTGAGAAGACACAGTAGGCACATTTCAGTTGTGGCTCCCAACATAAAAACATGGTGCACGTTTAAGGCCAGTTCATATTACAGGCAAATGAGAAAGTGAAACAAATCTGACACCGCAAAAGATTTGCAGCAGAATTTTACAGAGTTGAAATGTGTCCCATGTGTCCCATGTTTGCACATTTGCAGCGCAAAGACTTGATCTGACATATACTTGTGTGTTTTTTGTGACATGGAAAGGATAATTGCATTTAGTGACAAATGGGATGTTCCATTCCACTTGGTCTGGCCTCATGGGATAGAACGTTCAGTCTGTCGCCTCATGAAATTACTCTTACCACTGCACTCACAAATATTCATCCTTTGGAATAAACAGATCACCAACTGGGCCCGCCGTGCGGTTACCAGCGGCTTCCACTTGGTACCCACTCATGTGGACCCTTTTGGCTTTAACGCGGACACCTCGGATTCCCTGCACAGTCCTCTGTTCATTGAGCTACGACTTCCTGAAGGCTGCTTGGGTAACAGAGTGACATTGGAGGAGGGAAGTAAGGCATCGGATAAGATGCGACAGATTCAGCAGGCTATCCTTGCAAGGTTAGAGCACTAGATTCTTTAAACACTGCTCTTATTTCTGTTGCATGAATTTTTTTTCCAAATTTATCGTGAGAAAATGTGAAAATCTCAAAGTATGGATTTCTGAAAATAATTTACAAGCCATTAATGTTGACTAGACAAGTTGTCATGTGTTGCCCTGAATTTCTGTGGAATGCCCCCAGAGAGTTCTGTTTGTCTCACAGAAGAATATTGCTAAAAACCAAAAGACCAAAACAATCAGCGCTCTGGAATATGTGATTGCCGAGTTTTTGGTAACTGAGTACCTTCTTCAGGGCAAGCAGATTCAGTTCTCTGTAAGCTGGCTTGCCCTGCAGAAGGTACTCAGTTACGAAAACTCGGCAATCACATATTCTAGAGCACTGATTTGATATTATATTCTTGTCAATATTCTGATCACGGTGCTACGCAGCCCTTCCATATTTCTCAGACCAAAACAACCGTCTGGTTTTAGAATGCTGCTCTTGTAAACCAGGGCTGACAAAATGTTCCCAAAGTGAGTATTTGCACAAATTCAACATGTATCAAGTCAGTGGGGCTAGCGCTGACGTGTGGAGCGTTAGACAACAATAGAATGCGTGTGTCTATGTTGTTAGTATTGTCACAAGACCGATGAATTGTAGCTGGAGAACTGAAAAGCAACCCATGATGGACACACTTCACTGATTATATCCTCATCACTGTCCAACCGTTGGGTTTGTTGTATAGTCATCACAGAAGCCAAGTTGTAGAAGAAATGCCTTCGTCCTGGTTCAGTTGAGTACTTGTAGTTGTTAGTTGAGCCTGGGTTGGTTGTGATTGAGAAGTGATTGTTTTACAAGTCAGGATAGGAGATTCATGCCGTCTTTCTATTTAAGTGGTTTTTTTTTTTAATGCAGGTTTGGTTTCCTCAACAACCAGACGTCATGCCACAGTCCGTTAGCTAGCAACATCCAATCAGATCACGGTGCTCTGCCCATTCACTGCCAGTACATCCATGTCACTGGATGCGCATTTCTCCTCACTACGCCCTTCGCCCACATGCACTTGCCCACCTTGCGAGCCCAGTGCCTGCCCTGCCTCTGTAAGCTGGGGGCCAGCCACGCAGGCTGCAGTGGGTGGACCACTGACAGCAGATCACAGGACAGCGGTTCGGCGGGGGCCCAATCCCCAGTCTCCCAGATCCGCAGTGGCAGCAAGCTGGGCTTCCTGTATGTCCACAACTACCTCCTAAGCAAGAAGTGGCGGTCGTCGGCCACAGGCGATGAGAAGTTCCACGAGGCCCTGCTGGCCGACTTCAGCCGATTCTGCCAAGGAGAAGACGGGAGGCTGGAGCAACTCTTGCAAACAATGGAGAGCTTCCAGGAAGAAACACCTGGGATACCCTGATCCTTGTTCAAAGGGGAAATGGTAGGTAAAAACCATCTGTTTGCAGTTGTAGAAATGCAGTTGTTCCCATTTGATTCATCTGAAACTCTGTGTGTTTAGTATTGAGGTTTCTGTGTTGGTGTGGTCTGTTGAATACTATTATGGGTGGGATTTGTTTTACCAGCAAAAATTTCCGTATGGTAGATTTGAAAGCTAAATTTCCGAGTTGATTTTTTAGGAGGAGGTGTAAATGTGGCATTCTGCTGCAGCTTTTGGTGGGTATGTTTGGATTGCTAAGCAGTTTCTTTCATTGTGGTAGGAATTGTTTTTATTGATAAGTTTAATTAAAGCATTAAGATTCATACAATTGTCATGCTGTGCTGTCATAATTTTGAGTTGAGATTTTGCTGAGTAAATATTAAAACTTGACAGAGTTGTAATGAGTCACTAATTTTTGTGACTCAAAGTCGAGTCATTGTTATGTAACTTAAGTAGAGACAAGCCATTATAACATAGTCACTTGAGTTGAGTCATTGTAATGTAGTGTTAAGTCGAGTCATTCGGCAAAAGGGTCAAGTCGAGTCAAGTATTTTGCTCGAGTCAATTCAAGTAACAAATATTTGAACACAACAGTACAATAAATAAGAGAGAAAGTAATTTTTGTCATTTTCAAATTTACACTGCATCTTACTCTTGATGATAACTCATGACATGAACATTATAAACCAGTAGTGGAAAAGTCATTTCAAATAATTTTATGCAAGTTTATTTTTTGGACTAGAGTCCTTTTAACTTTCACTTGAGTCAGGGCTTCTAATGGACTTGAGTCGAGTCGAGTTATTTACTTGCTGTGACTTGAGGTCATTTGCCCGTCAGGACTCAAGTCGAGTCACCAAATATTGTGATTTGAGTTGAACCTTGAACAAATTAGTGGTTCAGAACATGGTAGGTGATACCAATTGAAATTTAGACTGGCACCTATTCACTCCAATACTGGTACCTTTAATTCACTATCGATGCATAAGACAGTGTCTTCTCTCTGTAACCAAACCAAGATTTGCCTTGTGTCTCAAGAGTCCAGAGTCCAAGGCTGCACCCAAATCTGTTGACAAGGGCTAGGTCTAGATCTTCACCCATTGGAAATATGTGGGCACCCTGCTCACATAGCCGTAGCTCTGGAGGCCTGTTTCAGACACCGCGCAAGTTATGCGAGAGCAATGCAAGACTTAAACAGGGAAAATTTGCCAGTCTTTCAGGTTTTGTACTTTGTCGAGTAATTTGACTTTGGATTCTTTCATGTGACTTTGTGTGGTGTTTCCTGCATATTTGGAATTGTGTGAAATACATGTGAAATTGTGCTGATTCGAGGTGTCAAGTCACTGGATAATTTAGAAAAAAGCGACATTAAAATACACCTGTGTGATTGAAACTTTTTGGTGAGCTTTAAGCCGTAAAACTGGAGTTTGAGTGACGGGCAAAGGTTGGAAAGGAAAAGATTGGCCATGGAGTTAGCATGTGAAACAAATTCAATAATATGCATGTATTTGGGAGTAGAAATATCTATTTTTGGTATGTTTATGACTTTTTCAGAAATATTTTCTGTTCTTCAGATGCATTAGAAACCATACTTTTATTACCATGCACACTGGTATGTTGATACTCATACTGGCCATTAGAAACTGCAGTTTTAAGAACCCGTCCAGTGCTCATGTATGTTGTATTTTTCCTACCTCGTAATATAGGCATTCGTCCCTCAAGTTCATGATATGGTGACATGGTTTCGTCAAAAACTCTGCTGAAATTCAAAAGTTCTTGTAGGCAGTGTATTCTCTAATGAAACAGGATGTCACCATGGGACTTAATGCTAGACTTAAGAAGGGTGGATGCTAGACTTAGGAAGGCTGTATATGAGAAAACTATGCTTTTGAAATGAGATACATGTAGCGTATGCTTGAAAGAAGAAAAGGCCACTATTTGAAATATGCCGAGTGAAACAGAAAGTTCAATTTTACTATGTTTGTACAGGGTAACAAGTTGTATTTTTATGCACAAAAAGTAGTCCTGTGATGCTATTCAATGCAATGTTTATATTTAATAATTCTGAATTTGTTTGGTGAAGAGATTCAACTTCAAGTTTATATGTCTGTGCTCTTGGGGTACAGTAACTTGAAAAAAGTAACTTTTCAAATTGACGTGATAATTGTTTAGCACATCAAGGTGCCTTTTCACTGCCATGTTTTCAGTCCAACTCCTGTCTGCATGTGTAAGTTGCAGCAAGTGTTCCTTGAAATTTTGCAGAACTGAAATGTGGGTAAATAGATGGCGGATACAGAATGGGCCAAGACATGCACATGTACTTGTGGAAAGGTGGCCTTAGTTGTGAAGTGTTTGTATGAGACTGAACAAAATTTTGGTTTCAAAATTTTACAGACACGGCATCCCACAATCATTAGTTCATGATTCACAATAGATTTTTGAAAGACCTACTAGGGTATACCAGGCAAGATATGGGACGGAGGGGTACCCCCCCTTACCTGTCCAATCCGTATACACACTCTAGACTATTGTTACCTAACACCCCCCCCCAAAGTCTGTAAAGAATTCCTGAGATTCCGATCAAACAATGACCAACACAAAGGCGGGGGGGGGGTTCTCTCCGTCCCATATCTTGCTTCAAATGTACTAGGGTGCCGACTTCCATTCTTTCCAAGTACAGCACAGACATATTAACTTTTGAATCGGAGGGGGTAAAGGGTAGAAAGGATAGCTGGGTAACAATGAAAAGCTGTGGAAGGATGAACTTTCATAATGAGAATAATTAGGACTAAAATATTTAACTGCAACAATAATTGTTCCAATTTAATCACCTTCAGATCAATTATAGGAACAATCATCATGATTACAAAGCAGCAATAAAAAATATATGTTTTCAGTAATTTCTGTATTGATATAATAATCATTTAAACATAATGCATTGTCATCAGATTAAAATGCAATAAAAGTAAAAATGTCAAGGATATATTTTTTCTCCGATTCTGTGCCCTAACATCAATACTAAGTCATTCAACGGTGAGCAAAGTGATAATTTCCTCGAGAAAATCTTCCCTCAAACAAAGCATATGATCCTGTAAACACGCAGGACTACATTTTTTTATTACCGTACCTCATACATATTCATGATTCAGAGCAACACTGTCCCTGGTCCTTTTATCATCCCTAACAAGTCAAATACATGGTACACATCACCACCAATTTGTTCCTGGGAACAGTTCATGGAACCGTGGCGCAGTTATTCAAAGTGTACAAGTATACAAAGCTCCAGCTACTCTCTGTTTGTGTTACGAATGAACGGACAGTGGCACACAAACCTCCTGCTTCTCCTTTGCTCCTGAAATTTGACGGCAAGTGAATATGTCAGAGGTATGGTATTTATAGCATGGTTTATGCTGGGCTTGGGACAAGTCTGTCTTCTTCCAATGCCTCATCGGGGGACCAAAACTGACCATCCATCTTCGATCCATGTTATAATCGTGTACTTGTTTTGAATGTGAGAAAATGACATTTTTGTCATTTCAAAATAGTCTCTCAAATTGCATTATGATCACATATGCACTGAAAAGCACATCTTAAAATATAAAAGGTAATGCAATTTGCCAATTTTTTCAAGTTTGCATTTTTTTAAAGTTAAATCATAATTTTTGATTTGAACAAGTACAGTTTATGTCTAAACTTAAAACTAACACCCCAGAGCTATGAATTTCCAGAAAATACACGTTGTTGACCTTTGCTTAGTTCTTATCATTTGCCTAACTACATGTACGAGGTGAAATGTCTCCAAACGTAGAATTTTGTTAAAAATGTCTTAAAATTCAAGAATCCTTCATAAAACACATTTCCTCGAAATGTTACATACTGTGATGGGCTATTGCAGAAACTTTACATTTTATCAAGATTCTTCATCTTCCAAGACATTTTTGTGACAGAATTCTATGTAATGGTCACTTGAACTTTTTTCCACTTGTAAAATCAAATCTGCCTAATTGCGGTTGTGACTAAGTACAAACTTGCCAAAGTAAGTTCTGCTTTGTCTCATTAAGCCTACGGCTGTGCTCAAGCGTGTTACTCGCATGAACAGGAAGTGTACACTCCTGAGCACACGAGCGGCAGGAGTGCCACCCATGGGTGAGAGAGAAGAGCCTCTCCATCATGTCGGTAGCAAACTCTGGCATTGCATGGTTAGTTCAGAGTGACAGAAAGGTAAATAGTTACCGTCTGTGCAATATGAAGCACGACTAATGGGAAAGCGATGTTTTTCTGTACACCCACGTGTATTGAGAGTAACAGTCGCCAACAAAGCCTATAAGACTTGATTCAGAGCCAACACGCAGGTATTGGAAGCTTTCAGTGCCCATATTCTGTGAAGGAACAAAATGACTTCTGGAAAGAAGTGAAATTGTAAAAAGTGAATTTTAAAAAAGCACACGCACAACAGTGTGCCTGGTATAACATATTTACATGCACACTGTAGCCATGCAGTTAGGGTTAGTGACGTGATCTTCCCACAAATGACTACAAACGCCAGTTCTGCCGGCCTGAAATGAAATTTGATAAGGCTAACATAAGAATATTTCTGTTCAGTCACTGTACTCCAAAAACCTAACCCTTGTAAGAATCGCTGTCTTGTAAGGCTCTACCCGGAACCGGACAAAGGTTTCTGTCTTCTCACCAATGGTCTTTTGTGGTCAGGGATCATTCCTGACTCGATTAAAGAAAAAAACCTCTAATCTTGAAATAATAAGAATGCATATTATCTTCCTGCTGCAGTAAAAAAAAGGAGAATGAAATGCTATCAATGCAAATCCTCACAGCTATAAGGAGTTTGGTCTTTGCCTGATTCTCAGGGTAGTCTCCTGTAAATTGTCAGGAGAGTCGTTTGCTTTAAAGACAATGGAAATGCCATGCCTTGCGGCACCATGGTAAAGTAAAGATATATTAAGGTGCCATCCACTGATACAGCTTTCCAAGAATTCACTCAGAAAACACAGATTAGATTCAGAAACTTGAACAGGTACAGCAAACTCTGTCCTTTTTTTCAAATCAACTAGCCATATATATATATATATACATGTTTACACATAAACACCTGCTGTGGTAGCTGTATGTGTGACAAATCTGTGTGAAACCATGTACAGTGGATACACATATGGAAAAATATTGCGACACTATTTACCAATATTCAATTTGCAATCTACCTATTCCCAATGAAATATTTGAATATCAGCATATTATGCTCTTAAAGAGTCTTGAAAGGTACAAAAATACTAGTTTTACTACAGTTCTTAAATTGCATATATTTTCTTCAATACTAAACCCATAAGAACTATTTCACTTTGGTGTTTGATAACATCAAAGCTGTTCCATGGACATGCAACTAAATATTTCCCTCTTATCCCACACTCTGTCAAGTTTCTCTATGACTGATATATCTACTTGCATGCAAGTACTTGGCACCAACTTTACAGCAAAATCTACTTTGAAACCAACTCCAACCAATTAAATTAATCTCTGAAAAAAAAACAATTATTGCGCTGCTCTTTCCAAGGCTTGGTCCTTGCTGATAGAATGTTAAAAGTCAGTTCAGATCCAGAACAATTCAGTACCTGGATCTTGCCTCGGGCCTGTGGCTGGAAGAAAATAGGTGGGCATTTGGATTGAGAGTGAACAGAACTCTTAACACTGTTCATTGCAACATTTTTAAATATTTTTTTTAATAAATCTGAAATTTTGAAAGCATGATAAAACAAATTTCAATCAGATGCACTGATGACCAAAACCTACTTGCCTGTACATTAAAAAAATTAACAACTCACCACTCAGGCTATGGACCCTGAATGGCCTTGTTAAAAAAACAGGGGGGGGGGAATTCAATTAAGTTAATGTCTTTCATGAGTCTAAATGGGGGTGACAGGAGACAATTTACAGTGCCTGCCCTAATTTTTTTTTTAAATGTCAAAGATCACTTTCCTGTGTATCACTTTCCTGTGTATCTGTAAGAGACTGCAAAGCAAATGTTGGGTAAGGAGAGCTGCCTGCAGCTGACCAAATAATTATTTCTCCAAGCTGACGGGCATGCTGTCGTTGGGCTCACTGTCACATTTGAAATTCTCATCAATTCATGCGCATCGTCCACTCACTGGCGCCATCAATGCAATCGTGCCTCACAGTCGTCTAAGCTTCTCTATTCCTTTTACCAAACAGCTGTGTACATTTTCAACTGTTCACTGCCCAAAAGTCCGCTTGCTGCTTTCAGCTGTCCTCTGTGTACTTTTTGCTACACAGGCTGTTTGGAGGAAAATGGAACACAGACAAAAAATGTGCAACCATATGTACGTCAAAAAAGACACTGCCTCGTGAACGTTGTGAGGCAATTCAAGATAAGCTCGTCTGGTACTCTGCTGAGTTCAGCAATTAAATCTAACCATGCTGAATTCAACAAGATTCTGCATAATTTCAGTGGTTCCAGGGGGTAGGGCTAATGGGCCATTTTTAGAGACAAAGGAGGGACTTCAATCATAGGATTTTTCCAATTTTGTTGTCTCACACGTACCCGAGAATGATTTGGAATTGGGAATGTGCGCAGCACATACAACACACATGCAAGCTCCCCCCCCCAAAAGAAAACAAAAAACACTGAAAGCACATAAACCCTAACCCTCCTCAATCCTTCACCTGTTGGAGGACCGAGGAGTGTTAGGGTTAAAGAGTAAAAAGTGCATAGCAGATTATGCACATAAATGTCAACACGGTCTCAGTAGGAGCTAACTCCAATGAGTGACCATACCACAGAAATCTGCTTAGGACAGACACACTTGCTTAGCAACAAAAGTACCGTTCGCTGTACCTCTCTTGTGACTGGTTCCCTGCTGATTTTGGCTGGCTCATAAATATGTTATTTCTCTTATGGTGGTAGCCACAAGCAGTGTGTTTGATTACTTCCCTTGCACTTACTAGGATAAGCCCTACTGCATTTGATTTGACTCTCGTGAGACTTCTCAAGCTTACTCAGACCTGGCCCAAGTAGCTAATCCGCCGAGCTGGTTATGTGGGAAGTGTCCCACAATGCAATGCTGATATGTGACAGCTTGGTTGAATGATGCAAAGGACAGTTGATGCCCTTGTAAGCAGTCCAGAAATATTGACATATGTAGGGACAAATTGGTTCAATTTAAGTAAGTTGTGAAATCAAGGCCAGAAATGTGTGTGTGAATGTTCTTTTCTTTTGACATTTTAAATTTGTGTTAAAAATCAATTTGTTCATGACCTTTTGACACGATTGAGCACCTGAGTATTAACTCAAGATCTTCACTTATAACCAACCATTGCACATGCTGCCTAAACCTATGACAAAGTCACGGGGTAAGTGCGAGGGAAGAAATCGAATTGCTGAAGTTGTGTAGTTTTCTTTTCAAATCCATGCTTAGCCACCCGAAGACATCTGGTCCCACAGTTTTATCCCTAAAGAGAAAGTAACGTAAATGTTTTCTGGGGCACGGGGAAGGGTAGAACTCAGGGATATTCTTTGCGGTTGCCCACTATGTGGGCCTCATCCGGTTGGCTTGAGCGGCAGACGGTGAAGAGGACAGCAATGACGATGATGATGAGTAGAAGACCAATTAGAGCAATCAGGGCAATCCACCAGATCTCCAGGGAAAGTCCGGTCTGACCATTTTTGTTCGGATCGATTGTTGTACCTGCCACACAAACAGAGACATTTTTTTGGTTTACATTCAAAATGAGGCGGCATGAAGTCACCTTCTGAAATCGATCTTTACTTGAAATTGGCTTCAGATCAGACACCAAATCCTACAGTCAAGACTTGCTGTCTCAATAGATTACGCTCACCTGAGATCCTGCACTGGTTTCATTACCCAGGTTACATTTAAGGTTACACACTCCTATATGCATGTATTCCAAACTATCACCTACCTTCAGATCCCATACTCTTGAAAATCCAGATGATGTACCTTACAGTCAGATACCACCCCAGGATAGTCCAGGTCAGGTACCCAACCCACACACAGACCCTACACCCAAGAGATTCTGGGCCGTTTTCCAATACTCAACTTCGTCTTTGTCTCAGGCTTCGTGTAGGAAATCAAATCCCCGATTGTGGGCCTGAAGCGTTTAACTTAAAGCACTGTAATGTTTGGCTCTTTTGCATCTTACTTGATGTTTTGTGGCATTTACTTCAGACTTACTATTGTGCTTACAACCTCAAATTCAGGAAGTTAAAAATAAACAGTTGAAGCCTGAGACGGAGTCCAAGTCGAGTATTGGAAAACAGCCCTGGTTTGGTACACAGCTTCACAATAGACTGCACACCTGAGATAACCTAATGTACTCCCAATGATCCCACCTACAAGTATCTTGACTGTCGCACACCTGTTGATCCAAAACCCAAAATAACCCTAGTCGCCTTAAAGCATGCTCTGTCTCACACCCAGACACGGGGATCTGTACTCAGTTGTTACAGCATTAAGATCTGAAAGTCAGCTGATTATACAGGACAAGTTGAAGAAATCAACAATATCCTTTCCTTTAAAAACAACAAGAAATTTCCTGAGCCTGATTCTTCATCCAAAGGTGCACTTCAGTTTCATTTGTTTGATCTTCGCCTCAAGTGACATGAAATGGCTAAGTTAAACTGGATCCGCTAACATCATGAAATAGGAAAGCTTCACAGCAACGGAAGCTCAACCCTTCAACATTAAAAGCTCACCACTTACAATGCTCTGTGCTCATTTCTACGGAGTACGTCACAAATTGTAGACCAGAATTAGACACTAAATCATGCATTAATGGGCTCGGGTCCAAGTTTCTGATTACAGTCAATTAGACTACATGTGGGCACGCTTAATAGCTTTGCCAACAAACACCAGTGTGTAGCATATTAACAGGTCCCGAAACCATCAGTTACTCATAATTCCATCCTGATATTTGGAAATCACGCACGTGTCAAATCACAGAGGACAACTTTTATGGTAGAACCCATTCCTAACAAAGGCTACCATGTCGATGAAATTGCAGGAATTGATTGATAGGCACAATATTTTGCAGCACTCTTTGCTTTTACTTTCTAACAAAGACAGAATGGAGTAGATGAGGGAAATAAGCACATTTCCCCTAGAATTTGGATGTGAAGTTGCAACCACCTGTCTTGTTTAACCATTAATGGACTGGCGTGTCCTCAGACTATTTAATTATTCATTAAGCTATTTATTCTTCAGCACGCTATTTGCTCGTTTCTCTGCCACAGATATGAAGGGCATAGGTACACGTATGCGGCACGTTATTGGAAAAGATGCCTTTGAGGGCAAGAGTTACAGGATGACTTAGAATTATTACTGGCTAAGTGATCGGCACGGCACGAAGAAGAAGAAGCAGCTTTGTTAGGACTGCAAAACATTTGGTAATCAGAAAATGAGGAATGCCAAAGCAAAGTGGCAATGGACTGACATTTTCAAGTTTTCTTGATTCATGAGTCTATTGATCTGAGGAATGTTGCTGTGATTAACTGATGACAGTTACTTATTTAGTTGATCAACTTGGATTGCACTTTCTGGAATCAGTCAAGGAAACTCAGGAGAGACCATGGGATCTTGCGCATCAGCCGATGAGTGTGGCGTGCGAGAAAGTTTCAACGTGAGTGCTGAGGCCGTTTCTCTATGGCTGTACACCACAGCAGACAATGTTATTATACCTATTGTCATGCCCATCATTTGCCTTCTTGGGGTTATGACCAACACCAGTTTCTTGTATGTCATGTTCCGTGTTCCCAAGATGAGGTCAGACACCAATATCTACCTGGCGCACTTGGCGGTGGCCGATGTTCTCTATCTGGGCATGACGACCAGCATCTACATTTGGTTCTTTGTGTCATCTCCCGTTGCTTTCAATTTTCCGTTCCACAACTCAGCCAGCTGCGTCAGCTTCATTTTGGTGTTGAACACCGGCTACTTCACAACCATTGCTACAGTGACCATGGTCTCCTACGACAGATACCTTGCCCTGTGCCATCCCATTAAGCACCGCCAAATCCGTGGCCGGTCGCGGACCAACAAGATGGCAGCACTCTGCTGGCTAGTCGGCCTGCTGTTTGCTTGTTCAACAGTGCCGCACTCCGCTCATCTGAATGTTCAAATTTTCCACTGGCCCGATGGTGACACATATGAGGATCTCCCATCGCTAGTGCATCGCTGTGGCGCTGTGTCTCCCTGGGTGCGGTACGCTGTCCCGCCATTCCAGAACTTTCCTTGGCTTGTGGCCATGACAGCTAATGTCTACATGTACATCCAAATTGTGCGGCAGCTAAACAATCGCAGATGTACAGACTGCAAGATGAAGAAGACCCAGATGGCACTGCTCATCCGCAACCAAGTGGCCAAGATGTTGGTCGTCAATGGCCTCATCTTCTTCATGTGCCAAGCCCCGTTCCGTATCCTGAGTTTCTCCGAGTGGATCTGTTTGATTGCTAATGTTCCGGATCCTTTAGTGGCCCTACTAGGCAGTGGGGCACGGTGGCTTTCCACCTTACCCCAGGTGATTAACACCATCATTAATCCCTTGATCTACAGCGCCATGAATCAACAGTACCGGTCTGCTTTCATCCAAGTGTTCCAGTGCAGGAGCAATGCCAGACAACGGAACAATGTGCGCCCTCCATTTGCGATCAGTGCCTCTGAGAACAAGAACTCCTCCACGGATAATATCAACACCAGTGACACCAATGAAACACAACTGTAAAAAGTCCAAGCCATTGAACTTCTTAAATGAAAGGGTCTTCTGATAACACTGTGCCAGACTGTGCTAAGAACCAAGTACATGTAGGCCACGTTCCAGAGGCAGATGGTGGGACATGTGTCAATCTTATGTCAATCAGACAAACTGTCTTGAATGGTTTTCAAAGATGACAGAAACAACTGTGAAGGATTAGGGGTAAGAATAAAACAAAGGTACAAGCAAGAAACGGTGACTGAGCATGAAATCAGCAGATTTCTGCCGGGAGGAAAAGCCTGGCTTTCAACTGATGACACACTGACAGGTATCTGACTCTTTTCCATGAGAAACCACTGTGTAACCCGGCATAATTTGTAAGACCATATACCAAATGTAACACTTGGCTTCTGCCTCAAGACATGATCTGCTGAGCAAACTCCTCTGTTTACAGCACCCATACAGTTGGTGGAACAGACTATGAAGTTGCTCTTTAACGTTTAAAGAGGAAGTGCCAGTCATATCAATCTGTTGTAACTGAATACAATTAATCCCCAGTATCCTTCATGAACGTGTTACAACTCCAAGTTTAAAAATCCATCCTGTCCACTACCATCCCGGTCCTATTTGGCCTGGCAAAATTGTTTCTGTTGTACATGGCACTTGTGATCATTTCATGGGTCAGCAACAACAGTTAATTTTTTATGTTAGGCAGTGCAAAGGTAGAATGGTTTCACCAGAGAAAAATGACCATAATATCCTCATCCAACTTTCGCCCCCGTAGCAAGAAACACTGCTCTTTCATTATACTTCTAATATTTCGGACTTTGTTTCATTAAAAATTTTTAAAATGTGAATATGTGAGGATTCATAAATGTCTTAGAAAGCACTCTCTTGCTTTTTCCAGGGCCCAAACAGAGGACAGTTCATAATTAATTGATAGTGCTTCCCTGGTTTAAAAAATAGCAAGCATATAAATAGTTTTTTTTGCCTATCTGCTGGAGGGTCATGCTTCAAGCTCAGCATCCAAATGTGTGACCTGTTGTGTGTCCCTATTATACCTGACTCATGTAATTTGACATGAAAATACAGGCATGCAGCTTAGACTTTGACCAAAAAAAGAGGAAATTTCAATTTCCGCAAGATTTTGCACAATGTCTTTCTATTTTCAATGGCATGAGTGTGAAGTGAAAGACGAGAAAATCAGCTGATAGTGGTGCACCTTGGAAATCACCAAAACTAACTTGAAACTTTTTCTATGTTAGATGTGACAAGGGGAATGAAAAGAACATTGGACCCCCAAATGTATACATGGAACCTGCACTCGCAGTGAGTCAGTTAATTGACTCTGTGTTACTTGTTCATAAGTTCCATACCGTTCCTTGGGCACTAGAATTGAAATAACACTTACTGGTACATGTCTGACCCGTGTAGCCTGGCTTGCAGGCACAGGAAAATTGCTCTTCTCGGTTGAGACAAGTTCCACCATTCTTGCATGGATTGTTTTCACAATGGTTGGGTACCTTATTATCTGAAACAGGAACAAGACCTTTCCAGTCAATTTCTTTAACACAACAACTTAGACTGTAAACTGTAAGTCAGGAATATAATAAGAAATGTTCTGTACTGGGCTGTTGCCCTCCACCTGTATCATTTCAAATGACCACTGGTATAGTCAGTGCTGTTTTGCAGTTTGTTCGGAAAAATTCACCAGCTAGCTTGGATAAAGATCGGCTTATTCAACGGATGTGTTCACCTAATCATGTCAAGATTACGGAAGATAAAATTAATTTGGCTAGAATGAATTTGTGGCTTAAAACAAATCTCAGCAATTACTTAAGATGTGCTGACCAAATGTAAAGCCTAAATGAATACTTAATTGATGATGGAAATCATTTTTGTAAAACTAACAGTCTTAATTTTGTGTTTGCTGCATCGTAAAATTCTCTCAGAGGTTGAAGAAACACTTTGTGAAAGCCCAAATATCAAACCAATGATTAGCCTGCAGGCTTCTTCCCTTGTTGTACGACAGGGTTGTGTCTTCTAATTTTTCCAACAATTAGCAGTCAGTAGTTACCACAAGTGTCTCCGGTATAGCCCAGTGGACATTCACAGGTCTTATTACTGGATCCGCTGCATGAGCCTCCATTCTTGCAAGTAGTCCCCTCCACACAAGTATTTACTAGTCAGATTTGGGTTGAAGAAAATGTAACTTGATTGCTTTTCCCCTTTTGTTTCAAGGCATTCATATGTGGGTAATTCCAGAAATTAAGGGTCCATTTTTTTCCATGTCCCTGTTACATCTGACGTAGGATTTTGTAAGTTCAGAACCCCATTTTCTAATTTCCGAGAGTGAAGAATTAATGCAAATTACCTGCCAAACAAATGGTACTAGTTTGAAAACGATTCCAATGATATAAATTTCCATGTCAAATAACAAAGGTCGGATGTAACTTTTCGGACCCCTAATTTCTGGAATTCCCCACACATGTTCTATCAAGGGGCACATTTCAACAACTGGAGGAAGAAATTCGATAAGGCATGCCACGCTTTTGTTAATTTGTTTTTACTTCCACAATGCATATGACCGTAGGAAGCAGTACAGCAAGCACAGCAAAAGCCATACCAGTAGAACAAGGGTTTTTTAATACGGGCGTGTCACAATAGTGTGCCTCTAAGTCTGAAGAAATCAGTTGAACCTTTCCAACCGTGCACTAGGCCGACAGATTTCATGCATGGTGACTGGCCAATGCATTGCAAACTCTTTGAGGTGCACTATGGTGAAACACCCGTATTTCTGTTTGTCTGAAGTGAAAACAAGTGCCAGAAAAATTATTGTGAAATATAAGAATAAATGATATTAACGAAAAAGACTGTTCTACACTATCTGATGTTTTGTGCGTTTGCAATCCATGTTTGCAATCACAGGATCAACCACATTACTTATGCACATGTTCATGTACATGTATGCACATGAACCCTACTCTAATCAGTTTTATCTAGACCTTGTGCCGGCATCCCTCATTCAAACATAAGAAAGTCAAGTTAAGTTGATGTTCGATATTTGATGTCTTTGTTTAGTCTGTAAATCCTATGTCTGGGTATTTGCATAGCCTTGGAACATCGAATGTACGACTTCAGTTAGATATTTGACATTCACACTTGTCTCTATACACAAGGGTTTTATTGGGTTTGATCACAGGGTTTACAGGTTGAATGTTTGATACTGAGTAGTTACAAATGTTTGCTGAGCCAATGTTTGACTTTCACTTTAATTAATGTTTGATATGCCCGATTCGCGTAAACCTTGATAATGGAGCAGGTTGTGCCTTTTAATGGCGGATGGCGGGGATCACAAAGTGTTACTGCATGAGGTAAGAAGGTCATTGTATGCACAGGCTCCAGAAATAGGAAGTGCAGAATCTTTACAAGGTGAAACTAGTGGCTAGATTTATAAGTTCCCAATCCTCAGATCTTCATCCATCCCCCTTCCATGAAACTTCAAACAACGGCTGTTATATCTTATGCCATTTCAGTGTCTACATCAATGCCATGTTTTGTCCATGCAAGAACTACAACTACGCTTGATTTTTCTCTCACTGTCATAAGCAGATATGTCACATGAACCTAACAAAGCATTGTGGGAGAAAGCGGTTAGGAAAGCCCATATAATCAGGGACCACTTCTCAACCACTAGTAGATTTCTCTAGCATGTGAATACTGAACTGGGTCATTAGGAAATGCAAACATATAGAGCTACTCTCACCAGTGGTTTGGCATCGATTGCCTGTAACACCTATAGGACACGTACAACGTCCATCAGCATCACAGGTTCCTCCATTATCACATGGGTTGGAAGCAGAGCAATCCACTGTAATAAAGTAACAAGAAAAAAAAAACTTGAAAGCTGTTAGGCCCAGAAATTCATTCACTTGTTTGCATGCAAACATTTGTTCATAAAATATGTAGAATTTTTTATGTACAATGAAACAACGGTACTAATGGGTTTTGCTGCGGGCCTCTCAGGCGAAGTAATTGTCCTATGCGCTCCCACACCTTGAAAGCCCTACTGAAGTTTTTGAAGCAACCCCTCTTGCAGATCATTTTTTCTCAATGACAGCTGGTACTTTATCTGCATTCAAGGCATTAATGCAGGTATCTGTATTTGCTAGCCGTCAGATTATTTCCCTCCACCGACCAAAACCTTTAAAATGGGGGTTGGAAAATTAACAGAGAGTTATAAGATAGCTGGCAGGTGGAGGGAGGTGCAACGGACCCATCAATGGTTGATTACGAACTGAGAGATGGCATGTTTATGAACAAGAACAATTTTCCTTTGGTGGAAAAATGCTGCGTGTACTAACTGGTTTATGTAAATTGGTTTGAAACTCATGAACTAAGCACACCGGGCTAATTTCTGTAGACATTTATGATCTCTGTATGTGCAGGAGATGCTTAACGAGTTCCTTGAAAAGAGCTGATAAAAACTGCAAAGAGCACTGGAGAGAGACTGCACATGTCAATTTCCTTTTTGACAAGTATGCACTATGAAAAAAAAGAACAATGAAGGATGTCCACAAACAATGGCCATGCATTTTCACCACAGTGTACAGAACTATTTAGAAATGTACACAGAGCCTTTTTAAATTTATGTCTGACACTGACAATTTATCAGTCAGTGGACTCACCTATAGTCTCACAAGTCTGGCCTTGATAACCAGTGGGACAATCACAACGATACGAGGCACCAACATTTTGGCAAGTGCCACCATTTCGGCATGGACCAGACTCACATGGCAGGCTTGGCATTGGGGTTGTGTTGACAGGTGGTGGGGTGGCTACAGACACAAAACAGCAAACGACAGGATGAACAAACAAAAGCCAACCAACAATTCAGGGCATTTGTGTGGTATTCTGGCTTCACATGCATGTAAACTATAAACGTCATCCTTACACAATCAAGCTTTACCAATGAACAGCAATTCTGTCAAAATACGATCAGAGCATTTGCAAAATACCACAGAGATCCCACAATGTACTTGACTTGTTGGGTATATACATGCAAGCAGTAATTGACAAATTCTAGCAGAAAAGAAGACATAGAGACACACAAATCTAAAACAACTCTAAGACACAAGTGTAGGGTCTAATAAAGGAATAGGTATTCTTTGAGCACTCTTTTCTGATTGCACGGTTTCATGGTATTCAAGCTATTGGCCCTACTTTGCGGTTGAAAAACTTTGGTAGAAAATGTGAAAAGCTGTCACTTCTCTTACGCCTTTATGTGTATGGCAAGCATTAACAATCATATGGACATTGGTAACCAAGGCCAAGATCAGTGACCAGTTTTCAACCCCGGGTCAAGTTCCCTTCGTAAAACTTATAAACAATACATGCTGTGTACCAGGCAACATGGACCAGAGACTGACTAATTGACCACCGACTTAATATAGACCAGTAATCTACAACTGTAAATGCAGCAGGAAAAAAAATACACATCTCCTGCTGCATGAATGTGACCGATAACATCAAAAAGCTACTGTATGCTATCCGCAGTTCTTGATATTTTCGTCCCCAATTCAAAGAGAACTATCCTCCAACTTTGTTGCCAATGGTATTATGAGGTTTCTCTCTGGGTCTGCAGGCAGGCAAAGTAATCAGCCCAGTCTATGCTCTAGCACACCGGGTTAATTTCTGTAGACATTTATGGTCTCTGTATGTGCAGGAGATGCTTAACGAGTTCCTTGAAAAGAGCTCATAAAAACTGCAAAGAGCACTGGAGAGAGACTGCACATGTCAAGTTCCTTTTTGACAAGTATGAAAAAACGAACAATGAAGGATGTCCACTAACAAGGGCCATGCATTTTCACTACAGTTTACAGAACTATTTAGAAATGTACACAGAGCCTTTTTAAATTTATGTCC